TGTGAGCGTTACTGTTGTGTGTTCTGAGCGTTAATGTTGTGTGTTGTTAGCGTTAATATTGTGTGTTGTGTGCGTTTATGCTGTGACCATTAATATTCTGAGCGTTAATATTGTGTGTTGTGAGCGTTAATGTTGTCTGTTGTGAGCGTCAATGTTGTGTGTTGTGAGCATTAATGTTGTGAGCGTTAATGTTGTAAACTTTAATGTTGTGTTTTGTGAGCGTTAATATTGTGTGTTGCGAGCGTTAATGTTGTAAACTTTAATGTTGTGTGTTTTTAGCGTTAATATTGTGTGTTCTGAGCGTCAATGTTGTGTGTTGTGAGTATTAATGTTGTGAGCGTTAATGTTGTGAACTTTAATGTTGTGTTTTGTGAGCGTTAATATTGTGTGTTGTGAGCGTTAATGTTGTGTGTTGTGAGCGTTAATGTCGTGTGTTGTGAGCGTTAATGTCGTGTGTTGTGAGCGTTAATGTTGTGAGCGTTAATGTTGTGTGTTGTGAGCGTTAATTGTTTTCTTTTGTGAGCGTTAATGTTGTGAGCGTTAATGTTGTGTGTTGTAAGCGTTAATGTTGTAAGCGTTAATTTTGTGTGTTGTGAGCGTTAATGTTGTGAGCGTTAATGTTGTGTGTTGTGAGCGTTAATGTTGTGTGTTGTGAGCGTTAATGTCGTGTGTTGTGAGCGTTAATGTTGTGTGTTGGGAGCGTTAATGTTGAGTCCAGCTTAACCAAGTCGGATTGGGAAAGAGCTAGAGTAACCAGACCATTTTAAAATACTTTTCTGCTGTATTTAGCGTTCTCTCAACTTTAAGAAAAACTGGACAGAACTCCACCACGATAAAATCATAATATGATAATGTCTTAAAACTCAGCCTTCAAATAATAATGATCTACCTCCAAATACAGAATAGATTATATAAAATATCTAAAAAATACAGGTATAAATTTTAACAAAACTATACACCTGTACGCTCACTTAACACAAATTGTGTGTATATATGAGAGATGCTTTTAGTCTTTTTATTGGAAGGCGTGGCCTAACGGAATGCGCTGGATCGCTATTTCAATGGTCTCCAGTTCGAATCCGGTTCAAATCAGTAGAATGTCCCTGAGTCCACACAGCTCTAATGGGTACCTAAACAAGCAAGGGCATATGTCGAGATCACAGAAACAGGTGAAGTCTATTTCTTTAGTCCCACGGGCCGTCAGGTTCGAAAAGAGAACTTTACCGATTTGCTTTTTTTACTTTGTCGTATATACGAAGTATAGAGAAAGACTTGTAATCGTGCAAAAAAAAAATCGAGATTTTTGCAAATCTCGACGTTTTACACCTCCCTGATACTGAAAAACATAATTTTGCAATCTTGTCCGTATATCTGTGTATGTGTGTATGTGTATGTGTCTGTGTGTTTGCAATCACGATAACTTCAGTACCGTTATAGCTAGGTTGATGAAATTTCATATATAAGTATTTTATCAAAATCGTAGTTGCCGATTAACTTTTGAGCGATTTCCAAAAAACCGGAAGTGAAACTTTTTCTACTTTGAATTTTTCAAAAGCCTATAACTTGAGTACTATTTCAGGTAGATAAATAAAATTTCAGATGGTAGTAAAATATCCAATAGTCTGCCTTCTTTCAAATTTTGAATAATTTCCGTTGACCGGAAGTAGTGATTTACGCTATTTCCGATTCTTCAAAAACACATGTGAATTTATAAAGTACTAATAATATCGCGCACTATTATGCACATATTGTTTGGCGTTTACTTGGTGTGCAATTCTTTTTTCAACGAGATTCTATTCTATTTTTAAAAAGTAATTAAAAATGGTTTAAAATATTGTCTGTATCCCGAGTTGCCATCCGTGGTGGTGTTATATAGGAATATTAGAGAAAGTTTAGGGAGATCACTCCCGGTTTATTAATGCATTATCTATATATATAAAGCAAAGTGGTCGGGTGCCCGATAGGGCACTTCCCGGCGCCGCAGGCGCGTCAAATTTGGCACGATGGTGCCTTCGGGCGATAGAACACGAAGGCCGGTGACGGTTGGCCGAAAAGTCTACGGAGAAGGGGTCAAAACTGACCTCGACTGACCGGCGCCTTATATGGGCTATATTACGAAAAAAAATTTCCTCCGACGACCCCCCTTGAAATTTTGTGAGGTGGTAGGAGAACACCTTGGGGTGTCACAAAAAACTCGCCATGTCCGGGAAAAATCGGGAAATGGGTCAAAACTGACCAGTCGTATTTCCCTATATAATCTTTGTATTTTATGGGAAAAACAGAGGGTCATTTCAAAACGGATTTTAGGGCACTTACCCTGTTTACATCTGGCTAATTTTTGGCATGTTTATAGGTAAATGGCTTGACCGTAGGGCAGACCTGTCGGTCTTACTCAAAGCCCTCGACGAGGGCTAAAAAGTGACCGCGAGTGAAATTCTCTTTATATGAGCTCTATTACGAAAATTTTTTTCCTCCGACGACCCCCCTTGATATTTTGTGAGGTGGTAGGAGAAAACCTAGGGGTGTCACAAAAAACTCGGCATATCTGGGAAAACTTCGTAAAGCGGTCAAAACTGACCAGTTGTATTTCCCTATATAATCTTTGTATTTTATGGGAAAAACAGAGGGTAATTTCAACGCAGACTTTAGGGTACTTAAGCTCAGTATATCTGGCTAATTTTTTGCATGCTCCTAGGTCAATGGCTTGACCTTTAGGGAAAACTGTCGGTTACACTCAAAGCCCTCGACGAGGGCTAAAAAGTGACCGCGAGTGAAATTCTCTTTATATGAGCTCTATTACGAAAAAAAATTTCCTCCAACGACCCCCCTTGATATTTTGTGAGGTGGTAGGAGAACCCCTTGGGGTGTCACAAAAAACTCGGCATATCTGGGAAAACTTCGTAAAGGGGTCAAAACTGACCAGTTGTATTTCCCTATATAATCTTTGTATTTTATGGGTAAAACAGAGGGTCATTTCAACGCAGACTTTAGGGTACTTAAGCTCAGTATATCTGGCTAATTTTTTGCATGCTCCTAGGTCAATGGCTTGACCTTTAGATAAAACTGTCGGTTACACTCAAAGCCCTCGACGAGGGCTAAATAGTGACCGCAAGTGAAATTCTCTTTATATGAGCTCTATTACGAAATTTTTTTTCCTCCGACGACCCCCCTTGATATTTTGTGAGGTGGTAGGAGAACACCTAGGGGTGTCACAAAAAACTCGGCATATCTGGGAAAACTTCGTAAAGCGGTCAAAACTGACCAGTTGTATTTCCCTATATAATCTTTGTATTTTATGGGAAAAACAGAGGGTCATTTCAACGCAGACTTTAGGGTACTTAAACTCAGTATATCTGGCTAATTTTTTGCATACTCTTAGGTGAATGGCTTGACCGTTAAAGAAAACTGTCGGTTTTACTCAAAGCCCTCGACGAGGGCTAAAAAGAGACCGCGAGGGAAATTCTCTTTATATGAGCTCTATTACGAAAAAAAATTTCCTCCGACGACCCCCCTTGATATTTTGTGAGGTGGTAGAAGAACACCTAGGGGTGTCACAAAAAACTCGGCATATCTGGGAAAACTTCGTAAAGCGGTCAAAACTGACCAGTTGTATTTCCCTATATAATCTTTGTATTTTATGGGAAAAACAGAGGGTCATTTCAACTCAGACTTTAGGGTACTTAAGCTCAGTATATCTGACTAATTTTTTGCATGCTCCTAGGTCAATGGCTTGACATTTAGGGAAAACTGTCGGTTACACTCAAATCCCTCGACGAGGGCTAAAAAGTGACCGCGAGTAAAATTCTCTTTATATGAGCTCTATTACGAAAAAAAATTTCCTCCGACGACCCCCCTTGATATTTTGTGAGGTGGTAGAAGAACACCTAGGGGTGTCATAAAAAACTCGGCATATCTGGGAAAACTTCGTAAAGGGGTCAAAACTGATCAGTTGTATTTCCCTATATAATCTTTGTATTTTATGGGAAAAACAGAGGGTCATTTCAACGCAAATTTTAGGGTACTTACTCTTTGTATAACTGGCTAATGTTTTGCATACACCTCTATAGATGAATGGGCCGTATGGAAAAACTGTTGGTCAGCATCAAAGCCCTCGAAGAGGGCTAAAATGACTGCGAGTGAAATTCTCATTATACGATATTTGGTCATTTGGTCTATGAGCAGGGGAGGTAACTTTTTAATGTAACAATTTTAAAATATTTTGTATACTCTTTTTCAGAAAAAACAAAAATCATAAAGTGTAGCATTGTTTTAATTGGATATTTTGTTATAAATTAAGTTTTGTATTGTAATGAAATTGTAAAATTAATTGCAAAAGTAATTTAATATAATATTTGATTGATAATTTTTTTGAAAGCCCTTTCAGTTCTAATAACCAAGCGAGTAATAAGTATGCGAATATTCCAGTAATTTATTACTACTAAAACGTACCCCATGGAAATAAATTTAGGCCCGAAGCATTTAACCTAACAGCCAATCACATATTAATTAATCATTCAATTTCTCAACTTTTTTGAAAACCTAAGCGAAGCTAGGCAGTATGCCTAGTTACTTATTATATAAAAGCTTGTTATTAAAATGTTTTTAATGAATTTTTGTATTAACAATGCAGTTGCATGACTAAAGACTATTGCGCACCTAATGAACATAAAAACGCGTGTATAATAGTGCGGAAAACTTGAGTAAGAAAGCCTACCAATTTGGACACAATTTTAGTTAATTCATAAAAAATTAATTAGGCATCCTATATGTAGGAAAAGATTAAAAATATGGCAAGTGATAAAATTATAGTTACAAATGTTATAAAATATTCAATTTTGGTTGAACAATTTGCTTTCTTGCAACAAAAATTTGGAACCATTTGGAACCAGATTTTCATTTCTATTAAGTCAAATTTAATAAGGTAGCTTTTTTGGGGCGGATTATAACAGATTTTTAAAAAAATATTTCTGGCAACAAGAAGTTATCACTTTGAAGTTTTGTCAACTTCCGTTGTGATTCAGCCAACTTGGATACAAAATGTTACCTAAACTGCCCATCGTAATAGTAGTAATAGTGTTTTTGTACCTGACATACAGAGTGATTCCTGTCCATAAATGTAGGTACTTAATTAAACGCTTAATGAAATAGAAACAAATGCTTTTATTTTTAAAAAAAAACTTAAATTTTCAATAAACAACAAAATAAGGAAAATGTACAGGAAAGTTGGAAATTTGTATTTTTCAAGTTTTAGATTTAGAGGTTATGAATGTGTAATTTTTTTTTAAGCGGCACGTTATTTTTGTAGTTAAAATTACCATCGCGTTGTAGGTAGTTTATAACAGAACAATCTGTTAACAGTAAAACAAAATGTGTTCCCTTATCGAAATATGACGGTCCATGCAGTGGTGTAGCGAGGTCGGTTGTTACCCGGTGTAGCATTAAATGGTGTCACCCCCCAGAGGCGTAGTGAACCTTCCCGGGGACAAACTTTCAAATTTTCGATTTGCACCCCCCCCCCCCCTCAATCAAACTTTCGATTTGCACCACTCCCCTCAAACTTTTGATTTTCACCCCCCCCCCCCCCCCCCCACCTCAAGCTTTTCTCTATAGCTTTTTTTTGCCTTGGTGTCACCCCCCTAAATGGTGTCATCCGGTGCGGTCCGCCCCCCCCCCTCGCTACGCCTCTGGGTCCATGAGTCAGTGAAGTTGAGTTCACCTGTTACAGTGACCACGGCATATGAAAGTGTAGTGTGTGGTCAGCTCTATGCCCAGACTTTACTTACCCTTACGTGGGTGGACCCAGGGACGCTCGTGAGACTTTCGTGTTATCATTCTAGCGCACGCAAGCCATTTATGTAAATAATGGTGCATTATAATATTTTAAGAAAATCAATTAATATTCTTCATCCTATTTTGTGCTACCTAAGTAATGTTAGGCTGTGCTAACTTTGTTAGGGCTGTGCTAACTTTGTTAGGGCTGTGCTAACTTTGTTAGGCTGTGCTAACTTTGTTAGGGCTGTGCTAACTTTGTTAGGGCTGTGCTAACTTTGTTAGGGCTGTGCTAACTTAGAAGTGTTAGGGCTGTGCTAACTTTGTTAGGGCTGTGCTAACTTTGTTAGGGCTGTGCTAACTTTGTTAGGGCTGTGCTAACTTTGTTAGGGCTGTGCTAACTTAGAAGTGTTAGGGCTGTGCTAACTTTGTTAGGACTGTGCTAACTTTGTTAGGGCTGTGCTAACTTAGAAGTGTTAGGGCTGTGTTAACTTTGTTAGGGCTGTGCTAACTTAGAAGTGTTAGGGCTGTGCTAACTTTGTTAGGGCTGTGCTAACTTTGTTAGGGCTGTGCTAACTTTGTTAGGGCTGTGCTAACTTAGAAGTGTTAGGCTGTGCTAACTTAGAAGTGTTAGGGCTGTGTTAACTTTGTTAGGGCTGTGCTAACTTTGTTAGGGCTGTGCTAATTTAGAAGTGTTAGGGCTGTGCGAACTTAGAAGTGTTAGGCTGTGCTAACTTAGAAGTGTTAGGGCTGTGCTAACTTAGAAGTGTTAGGGCTGTGCTAACTTTGTTAGTGCTGTGCTAACTTAGAAGTTTTAGGCTGTGCTAACTTTGTTAGGGCTGTGCTAACTTTGTTAGGGCTGTGCTAACTTAGAAGTATTAGGGCTGTGCTAACTTAGAAGTGTTTGGCTGTGCTAACTTTGTTAGGGCTGTGCTAACTTTGTTAGGGCTGTGCTAACTTTGTTAGGGCTGTGCTAACTTTGTTAGGGCTGTGCTAACTTAGTTAGGGCTGTGCTAACTTTGTTAGGGCTGTGCTAACTTAGAAGTGTTAGGGCTGTGCTAACTTTGTTAGGGCTGTGCTAACTTTGTTAGGGCTGTGCTAACTTAGAAGTGTTAGGGCTGTGCTAACTTTGTTAGGGCTGTGCTAACTTTGTTAGGGTTCTGCTAACTTTGTTAGGGCTGTGCTAACTTAGAAGTGTTAGGGCTGTGCTAACTTTGTTAGGGCTGTGCTAACTTAGAAGTGTTAGGGCTGTGCTAACTTTGTTAGGGCTGTGCTAACTTTGTTAGGGCTGTGCTAACTTTGTTAGGGCTGTGCTAACTTTGTTAGGGCTGTGCTAATTTAGAAGTGTTAGGGCTGTGCTAACTTTGTTAGGGCTGTGCTAACTTTGTTAGGGCTGTGCTAACTTTGTTAGGGCTGTGCTAACTTAGAAGTGTTAGGGCTGTGCTAACTTTGAAGTGTTAGGGCTGTGCTAACTTTGTTAGGGCTGTGCTAACTTTGTTAGGGCTGTGCTAACTTTGTTAGGGCTGTGCTAACTTAGAAGTGTTAGGGCTGTGCTAACTTAGAAGTGTTAGGGCTGTGCTAACTTTGTTAGGGCTGTGCTAACTTTGTTAGGGCTGTGCTAACTTTGTTAGGGCTGTGCTAACTTAGAAGTGTTAGGGCTGTGCTAACTTTGTTGAAGTCGAAATTATATTCTAAACAATTAGTACCGCGATTTTAATTTTTTTTAATAATTGATTTAAGAAATAATTTCTTTTCAATATTAATGATTGTTATATATGATTTATACATTATTTGTTCTTCGACAACCACAACACATATCGTACATAAGTGTAAAACAATGCCTTCAACGTAGAAGCTAGCAAATAATCAATTACAAATGCTTGTACAGCTATCTGCGACTTTGCACAATTAACTACCCACAGTGGCGTAGCGAGGTCGGGTGTCACCCGGTGCGGCACTTAATGGTGTCACCCCCCCCCCCCCCCCAGAGGCATAGAGACCCTTCCCAGGGACAAACTTTCAAATTTTCGATTTGCAACCCCCCCCCCCCCCCCTCAAAAACTTTCGATTTCCACCCCTCCTCAAGTTTTTGATTTGCACCCGCTCCCCTCAAACTTTCGATTTGCACCCCCCCCCCTCTCGAGTTTTTCTCTATATATTTTGCTATTTTTTGCCTTGGTGTCAACCCCCTAAATGGTGTCACCCGGTGTGGTCCGCACCCCTCCCCCCCTTCTCGCTACGCCCCTGACTACCCATCTTGTTGCACAGTATTCTTTGGTGGGGAATGGAATTCCCTATGTAAGAAAACAAGCGAAGACACCAAGAACGCGGACCATCAAGAAAAGTTTGGAGGTAAGGTCGGGTTATTATTCAAATAGCCGTGTAATTGGTTGCAATAATTATCTTAAAACACGCACTGTAAACTTATAAAGCATACGCTTATTTTAAAACATTTTTAAACTTGTATACCTTTACATGAGACAAAAATAATTACGGTGAAGACTAAATCAAGGTCTTTGTTCCCAGATTTGCCGGAGCCAAACGCAAGCGGCGACCAAAGTTTTAAACATGGATGCAGGTTTGTGGTCATTTTCTTTCAAGTCATGGCACTAACGTACACACGTATGAACAATCCTAACCTAGTCTTCTTTTTTTCATAACTTAAACACCAGGCTATTACTGGCTATGGGTTCGTCCATAAATAAATGACGTTACACACCTAAGGGTGGGGGCGGGTGGGGAGGGGGTGGATCTTAGTGACGATGTGTGATGAAGGGGAGTTGTAAAGAGTTGATTTTAGCTGAGTTTTTTTTTTTCGAGGTTTTTGGAAGCTGTTTTTGGAAATTCTTTAAGAGAATGACTAATATACACCAAGCTCAGTCAATATTTTGGAAAGAATTTTTGTTGCGAAGGGGGGGGGGGGGGTGTAAGTTCAGGTGTGGAGTTATAGGTTTAGTGGGGGGGGGGGTCTGTAGTTTTGTGACGAAATGTGACAGCAGGGAGGGAAGAGGGAAGAATTGTCCAAAACCGGGTGATTTCATCTGAGGATGACCCTCTATCACGTTAAATTTGTATGAATAATTCCTCGTCATAAAGCCACTTTTCTATCGGTAATGTCTCATCAAAGAGAAACCTAGTCGAGAGGTAGTCGGTAGAACGCCTCAACTGTTGACCCGAGCCTCCAGTTCGGATCCCGTACTTGAGTCTGTTGGATGACTCCGAGTTCATCCAGCTCTAAAGAGTACCTGACTCATATAACTCACCGTACTTTCTCTTGTTAAGGCTGAGATCACTAAAACTGATTAACTCTGTTTCATATTCCATGAAATTGACTTTGGCATCAATCACTAGGCTCTTCCTAAAACATGCCTTAGCTGAAACCATCTCTAAATATGTCTATTAAAATGGTACGGATAGAATTAGCTACCAGTTAGACCAGGCAGTAAAAACTGGAGAGTAAAATTAGAACCTCGGATAACTGGTCAAGCAAAGCCAACTGGACATTAATAATGTACTCTCCTGCTCATTACTGTGATGGTGTGCGGGAGGCTTATGTAGCTCCCGACATACATGGGGTGCCCTGACACTTGTTTTCTGATGACGACAGTTGTGAGTTGTACAAGGTGCAGGTACTAGCTTGATAGATGCTTCAATCTATCTACAGCATGGCTGATATTGGGATTAAATTAATGCTTCATTCTATCTATAGCATGGCTTATATTGGGATTAAATTAATGCTTCATACTATCTATAGCATGGCTGATATTGGGATTCAATTAATACTTCATTCTATGTATAGCATAGCTGGTATTGGGATTAAATTAATGCTTCATTCTATGTATAGCATGGCTGGTATTGGGATTAAATTAATGCTTCATTCTATCTATAGCATGGCTGATATTGGGATTAAATTAATGCTTCATTCTATGTATAGCATGGCTGGTATTGGGATTGAATTAAGACTTCATTCTATGTATAACATGGCTGGTATTGGGATTCAACTAATGCTTCATTCTATCTACAGCATGGCTTATATTGGGATTAAATTAATGCTTCATTCTATCTACAGCATGACTGATATCGGGATTAAATTAATGAGTCGATACTTAATCGGTGCCTTGAGTGGTGCGTTGAGTGTGATCATCTACGCAGCGTTGAAGGTTTCGGTCAATGCAATCACACCTTGGATTGTTAGTTACTTTCCAGGTAAGGCTCCAGTAAAGTAAGTCTATTATTACTTTGCTTTTTAAAAAAAATATATTTTAATAAAAAAACGTTTATAACTTAATTGCGATTTTACAACCAAGTTCTCCAGTAAGAGGTTTATTAGTAACTGGTTCTTTAATGTTTTATTATTTTTATTTTATAACAAGGTACAAAAGATAACAAAAATCAAAACATAATTTTCATATACATTGACGTATAAATAATAATGAATACTTACACTCACACCCACACTCACACCCACACTGACACAGACAATCACGCTCACACTTACACTCACACCCTAATTCAAATTCACATCACTACTCACACACATACACACACACACACACTTTTAGAATAAACCTCATGTTATCATTACCTTTCTTCTCTCTAGTCTTGCTGTTTCGACAAGAGGAACGTAATACCCCGGTTCTTCGCAGGCGTACCTCAGTTGGTGCCAAATACTTCCCGCGGCATTATGATGGGACCAGTGATTAACGTGGCGGATTTCAGACATCATAGATGTTCACTCAAGTAGTCACTCCCGCATTTACATCATATATATATATATATATATATATATATATATATATATATATATATATATATATATATATATATATATATATATATATGTATATATATATTTATTTATTTTTTTATGCGTGTATACATGTATACAAACATAACACTTTGATACAAGACTCATGCAGCTAACAACACACTTAAACTCAAGACTCAATATAATTCAACATCAAATTCATCATTTCAATGTTTCACTACTAACTTTCTAATTCTTAACTAATTCATACGAATCCTAGAACTCGAAATCAGTTCCAAAGTTCCAAAATCTAAAAAAAAATTATTTAGATTATTGCATTTCCACAATTATTATATGTATTGACATCATGAATATATTATATAAAGAATGTTCAATTTAAAACTGTTGCTTGTTTTTTTTTTATTGATAATGATCGATTTTAGAATGTGTTGAATTAATCGCTAGATTAACATGTGTTGCGAACGCTAATGTTGAGTCTTGCCTTGGGTCGGGGTTATCCAGTTCTAGAGATTATTAGCTGACAGGGGTTGAGCTAGGGTCAAGTTTTGTCAATGTAAAATACACTGTTATGATCATTTTAGTATACATCTGCTTTTGCAAAAATGGGTTGGTATATAATCTCGTAAAATATAAATTTTAAGATCCTAAAATATAGAGCCTTCAAATATCAAAGATCTATGTTAAATCTCGTGTTAACACACCTTAAAGTAACTTGACAAACTTGAAATTACAACATTTAAAATCCCGCACTAAACATAAATGTACAATTTACACAACAATCGGATTAAAGACAAGAAACACTGAAAGTTGTGTACATCGCGTATTTCTAGCAACCTTTTCCATAACCCCAGCCTTTTAAATAACCCATAATCTGAAATTTTAATTGTGACTTATGTCACGCGACTATTGTCACTACTGTTGCGAATATATGACTGTCTTTGCTTGAGTTAATTACCAACGTCTTTCAAAGCACGGTCTCATTTAAAACATTTGCAACACAACTAGAGTTATGCACCTTTACACCAGGCAGAGGTACATCAAGGAGTAGACCACAGTAAACGGGGTGTAATCGAGTAGAAATATTTCGTAGGCGAATATAAAACTCTGGAAAACAAATTGCAAGAAAAAGAACCGCTCACTTACTAGGAAAATAAACATCAAACATGCAAACACAAAGATGGCTAGCTCTCACACAGTAACTATATCACACCAGCACTCACACACAAATTGACTCACACGAACACTCACACACGAAATAACACACCAGTACTCACACACAAATTAACTCACACAAACACTCACACACGAAATAACACACCAACATTCACACACAAACTTACTTGCACAAACACTCACACGAGATAACACACACATACACGCTCACAAAGAAAGTAACCCACAAACACAATGAAATGAGGTCAATTATTTACATATGTACTAAATCAATTGTTTTTCTAACATTAAAAAAAAAAACGTTGGCGTACAACGCTCAAAACAGAAGGTTGAATCCACATACACATAGTAAAAAAAGTAAAGTTTCCCTTTCAAACCTGACGGTCTCTGGGGCAAGTGAAGTAGAGTTCACTTGTTTCTGTGACCTCGGCATATGAAGAGATAGTGTGGTCAACACTATGCCCAGCCGCCTGGACGGTCTACTGACTTGAACCCGGATTCGAACTCGAGACTTACGGGTTAGCAGTCAGCTCTCTACCGCTAGACCACATACACATATACAGGGTAAAATTTCGATTTTGTGAGATGAAAACAAGTTGAAATGTTACGTTCATTTTACTTATAGTATGGATTAGACGGTATAATTCATTTATTTTTATTTTGTCACGGGTTAGCAGTCCAGCTCTCTACCGCTAGACCACATACACATACACAGGTTAAAATTTCGATTTTGTGAGATGAAAACAAGTTGAAATGTTACGTTCATTTTACTTATAGTATGGATTAGACGGTCTAATTCATTTATTTATTTTTTGTCACTATTTGTGACAATTGTAAGTTGATTAAAAAAAACCGGGAACAAAAATATTAATACTAATACACTAGTAACGACAGATACTCAAGTTTAAGGAGTGTAAAAAGGACAGCAAGTGGTGGACTAAACATGGCTGAAACCGACTTGGTGGAACAGAGTATCTTCCCCTCCCCACTCGCCCTCCTAAAGTTACCAAATTATGGTCCTGTATGGAGCCAGCAGTCGCCTGAATGGCACAAATATATATGTGTTTATGAGCTGACCGTTTTCTCGACTATATTAATCCGCGTTTTTATTTCCCAAGTGGGATCCACACTGGCAGTGGATAACATATCCACAGCCGTCAACTGATAGCGTTAGAATTTTCATTGTCGAGTCGGTTTACCTGCGGGTACAATCGGCGAAACGGGTTTTATTGGTCCTGTCATCTCCGGTACCGCGCTAAGGGGAGACGACTCCCGGGAGTGGTCGCCCCTGTCATCGGTGGTCGGCGGGGCGGGTGGCGGGGTTAAACTAGACACTTCAGATTTACCCGCGATGTGGGGGGGGGGGGGGGGGGGGTGGAGAGAAGAGTAGTTTGACTGTTTAACGTAGTGTCGAATGGTCGGTGATTGAATCCTATTTGGAAGTAAGTCGACACAGCAGGTTTAGAGGAAGAACCAAACCTGCATATCCGTGTCATGTGTTCCATATCCCCTCCCCGCCCGCACCTTCCATCCCCCCCATCCCCCCCCCCCCCCCCACTGCTGAATGGCCAAAACAAAAAGCAGTGTGCCTAAAAACAAGCAGTTGGTGTTGTGCGTGTAATTAAAACTATAATTTTAAATACAACAAAGTAAAAAAATAAACTACCAATTTTCTTGTAGTGATTAAAATAATGCATAGCCATTTTTACTTTCTTGTATACAGAGTATAGAGGAAGTATTGTAATCGTGTGCAAAAAAATTAAAGAGGTTTTGATATTTTTTTGTACTTCATCGTATACGGAGTATAAAGGAGGTATTGTAATCGTGTAAATATCTTAATCGAGATTTTGACAAATGTTGACGTTTTATACTTTTCCGGAGCCGGAAAAATTTAGTTTTGCTATCATCTCTGTCTGTGTGTTTGTGTGCGTAAACACGATGACATCAGTACCATTTCAGTTGAGTACTATTTCAGTTGAGTACCATTTCAGTATCGCTTGCTTACTTGTGAATTGTAACACAAGCCTTCGTGGCCAAGTGGTAAGGCGTCGGTCTCGTAAACCGAAGATCCAGGGTTCAATCCCCTGCGGAGGCAATTATCATGTTTATACTGGTCCACACTTTTGTTAAAATTAGTATTATTAAATTCTAGTTTATAGACATAGATATCAGAGATAAATACTCATTCTTTTGTGTTATGCCAACTAGTTACTGTGAAATAACTTAGTAACCAAATCGACAAAAGCAAATTATGCAAACACAATTTAAGGAGAAGTGGTGTTTTTTTTTAATAATTATAATACCTTAAAAGTATCAAGAAATGTTTTTTTTTTATTATTAAACGATCTCACTTCTAGAAAATCATTTTCCGACAATTAGCTGAGTTCAAATATCAAAACCTCCACGAACTGTATTGAAACGAATATTGACAGTACTTTGATAACCTTCCGTATTCCAATTTCATACAATCACATTAACATCTACAGAACCTACTGTCCCGTTTCTCTACAACTTCATGTAATCACAATATATTCCCAGCACCTTCGTATCCTTTGTCTCCAGCTTGATATAATCACACATTTATATGTATGCTTTATGTCCATAAGCAGCTGTGGCCAAACCCCAACATGCCAACCTTGCCACATAAACAGACCATAATCTCAAGACTTAACCATAAATATCCCGCTCCGAATCTCTATTACAACCCTGCGCAGCGATTTTAATATTTTTGGATATTGACATAATAAAACTCAAGTGCCAGGGCATTTCCTTCATTTATTTCTAAAGCTACTGGCTCAATCTAACACTTTTGCTATCCGTGTAATCCTCAGCAATAACTTACTTTTGACAGTTAAATAACAACGAGGGTTAGGTGAAATCTTTTAAGACCATAAGCGAATGAGGAGTAGTTCTGATTACTAATATACAATGAAGGTAATTATTTTTTTTTAATAATGCATTTATTTCATTAGATTGGAGATTTGCTGGCGCGCTTCAATCGTCTCGTCAGGAAAAGGGTGTAATAGGTGGATAGCTAAGACCTAGTGTTTAAAAGATCGAGGCTAATCCGTTGGCTATTTTTGACATAACTTTTTAATTTGTCTCCGGCTTAGTGCGATACGTGCACGTATACGATTGGGGAGTCTGGTTTAATGCGTCCCTCGTCACGTGACCAGCCAGGGATGGGGTGGAGGGGATTAGCTCGAACATGGGCCGGAGATTACTTGCGAAATTGGAGCAATTAAAATTGTGAATGTTTCTTGTATGCCGAAAAAATGGGACGGAAATGCTTGCAAAAGACTGGTGATACACTTGTGATATACGTGTGGTTACACTAGTGATATTTTTGATACACTTGTGGTATACTTGGATATAGTTGTGTTATACTTGTGATATACTTGTGATATACTTGTAGTATACTTGTGATATACTTATGATATACTAGTGATATTCTTGTGATATACTTGTAGTATACTTGTGATATACTTATGATATACTAGTGATATTCTTGTGATATACTTGTAATATACTAGTGAAATGTTTGTGATAAATGATAGATATATTAGTGATAAACTTATAATATACTGGTGATACATTTCTCAGATATACTGCAGTAAATATCACTAATTCCTTGATAAAAAGTTTTCTTAATCACTTTGTCATGCATACGCATGATGCCTCAAGCACAATGCCTACTTTTATGGTCTTTATATTTCTAATGCACAACATAATGTCCAGAAACAAGAGTAGAGAACAATGTTCTTTGTAATGCTCAGAGTAATACCACAACATAATCGGCTGTTCATTGTTACCTTTT